AATTCATTCTCTTCACCCTTTCACTGGTTTTGGCCCAGTTTCTCCCAGAAGTTGAACCACTTTCGTGATTCAATTGCCGCACCAGAATTTAAAATAAAAATTATTTTGTCGATGGATGTGCATGAGTGCTCCACTCACGCGTAGACTTTTAACAGGGGAAGTCCAGCAAGATTGACGAGCAGAAGGTTCCACGAGAAGTTCCATGAAACAAGAAGTGTGCTAGATCGTAATTTCTTCTTAAGTGCTCCCCTAATGTGCTTAAACGTACTTTAACCCTTTCAGTGCTACATTATTTTTCTTTACAAACCCTATGCTGAGTTTTTCGCTTCTGGTGCACCATGATGTGTTCTATTTATAAAATGAATATGTATTCCCTCATGTACATTATTATGTAAGTATATAACTGGACTGGTACAAGTTGTCCTTAAAAATATCAGGTAAGAAACAAAAGAAGAAATGCCGCAAGAAGAGACACTTTCGTGATCAATTTAACTCGTTAAGAGAGTTAAAAGAGAGTTAAGGTGAGAGTTAAAATGTGTTTCAAATGACACCGAATATAAAAATCTAGGGGTGTACTAATGCTGGGGAGCTACTTACGACCATTCAGAACGAGGACTATCTAGCACTCTTCCTGTTGCACGAAACTTCTCACGTTTTGAAACCTTTTGGAGCCTTTTGAAATTAAGAAGGGACCTCCAGAAAGACTGACAATGTTTCCTGAAAAGTTCGTGCACTTAAATAGGGCACTTATGCACCATGAAGCAGCTTTTATTTCTTCTCGATTCTGGTGCGGCATTGGAGTCACTTACTTCGAAGTGCTCAGCCTTCGCTCACCTGAAGTTGAAAGAAAAAGAGAGCAGGATCAGTGGAGTTCTTGGGAGAAATTGAGCCAGAACCGGTGAAAGCGTGGCAAGAAAATGAATTTCTGTTGGTGGCTTCATGTTGGTTCTGCGAACAAGCGACTCCGTCGTATGTGAATGCATCAAAGGGAATATCCAGCCGCCCGCCCGTATAGCCAGATGTTTATCTTCCCCTCAGTTGAAAAAAAGCTGTGGCTGAACCAAAAAAGTTAAAAGGGAAAAATAATTGCAACAGGATTTCGATATTCGGAAAATAGAAGGTTAAAGATACGCGCGATCACTCCATAAATTTTAAATGTAGCGCACAACCGAGCTCAAATTAGTTGGCTCCAGGCACTGGAATGACCTCGATCAAGCCCCTCGGGCGACCGACTGGATGTTCGCTATGTCGCTTTTATAATGCGAACACCCGGTGTACCCCAATAAACCCCAGTCGAATTATTGAGATTCTTCCGCTTCTCTCGTGTACAGCGTTTGGTTCTTTTGTGAAAGGGACTGGCCTTAGAGAGGTGTGCGTGATTTCATACGTCACAAACGCCAGGGCTTGATGAAGGCACGATCATGATCACTACAAGAATAGAATTCACTTGTTTATGAGCGCGGTTGTTCTTTTTGAGAGCAAGAATCAATTTTTAATGGAAGAAAAATGATGCTAATCTCATCAACCTTGTGTCGTCTTGGATCTCTGGTTTCTTAAATGCAAAGAAAATTACAGTGCGACTTAAGTCCCTTCCGCGGGCAAATTTTTTCATATGTGCAGCCTTCCCAAATCACGGGGAGGGTCGAACGTTGGAAGTACTGTATACTTCCCGCTGCCCACGAAAGGGTTAATCGAAGCATGCTGGAGAAGATGGATGTCATTACGGTACTGGATGACCATGGAGTGCTCGATCAGATCACCTCTGCACCGTGGTGCTTCGCCCCACTTCGCCAATCCAGAGAAAAAACCTGCTGTGTGCAAACTCTGGCATATCTCAAACTCAAACTCTGGCTCATCAGCAGGCAGATCCAGAGGAATGGCTTGCGCGATATCTTTCGACTTGGCTCCTGCTGTCTTATGGCTGTGGGGCCTCCTGAATGTATTGGCCTAGCGAGACACTCTTCCAACGCTCCCGAAGTTGAAGGGCGAAATTGAACGGGAAATTCATCTCATGCCATCGGACATACAACGTGCTGCTGTTTATAACGCTATTCCACGTCTGGAAACAATTGACGCTAGCATTGGAGCACACTTCTGCTCCCGAAGTTGAAGGGCGAAATTGAACGAGAAGTTCATCTCATGCCATCGGACATACAACGTGCTGCTGTTTATAACGCTATTCCACGTCTGGAAACAATTGACGCTAGCATTGGAGCACACTTCGAGCCTCCTTTAAATTAAGTGTCTAAAATTAGTTTATGCGCGCCAAGTACGGAAGAGTTCCGTAGGTCCAAGCCAATGGATTCAGGAGGCTCCTGAATGATTATGTGCTGTGGTGGCGCCCTCATGACCCACATTCAACGTTGCCATATTTTCCCGCATTCTTAATTTACCCTGTTATCCCAAGTTTCATCGTCATGCGACCAAAGGGTGCGAGCACACCAATGTCAAACGCCGTGGAAGGGACTTTATAAGGGCCTGGTATATCATGCGTGACACCACTCGCATGATCTATCTGATCATGAGTCGAAAATAACTAACACGCACATCTGTACTGGCCACCCTTTTAGGAGTCTGTTGCTGTTATCATAGCAATGCTCTAGAAATGAAATTCATGGTTTGACCTTTATATTCTCTCGAGCCGGTCTCTCTTCATGAAGAGAAAAAGGATACAAGAAAGAAATTGTCAGGGAAGGATTTCGATCACCTCTTCCATCTTCCAAGTCTTCCATAGGGAATCGGATGGGGGGAAGTCTCGTGACTGGAATAGGTGATGCCGTTCAGTGCCTTTCCCAACTTCCCATTTATTTTTTTCCCTTTCTTCCCCTCTTTTCTCCTTCCCCTCTTTTTCTCCTTCCGGAGCCTTAGATTAAACCTCTTTTGCTTGCCCTCATTTGCCAGCACTTCGAGTGAATCGAGGTCAGACGCACTAGCGGGTAAAGCGCAATAAGTTCTTCTTTCCTGGCGTCTTCCTTGCAGAGATGCTATAAAGGGATGGAGAAAAGGTGCTGACGAGCCGAGAATCGATCTGGACCTGTATGGCCTTCATTCCCCGAATTTCCATAGTAAAGGTTGAAGTGTTCTAGGTCGCGTGCCTCGAAAGGCCGATGGGGGGGATAGGGAGAGATTCATTTCCTCCTGCGTGCATGCAAGTATTCCGACGGTCAGCACGCAGAGGCCTCTGGTCGGATTGATAATATCTCTATTTTATTGAAGAACCTTTTTCACTCGAAGATGCATGCACTCTTTCCTCTTTCTCGCACCTCTTGAGATTTCATTGACGTCACGAGCTAAGCCTCTCCGCTGATATATATATAGCCGCTTTATGTTGGAAATTATTATTCTGTTGAAATATCGGGAAAGACATGGAGTGCCAATTCCAAAAAACATGATATCGTCACGATTTAAGTCGACAATCCCTGTGAGAAGAAACACAGTTTGCACAGCAATGCCCTTCGCGATTCTTTTCACGCTGCATTTCTAGCTTTCATGCTGTTATGAACTGCTATGTTCTGTATAGCGTGTCTCATCATGCTTTCATTTTTGTGCGACATTTCATACTGCGACGAATTGACGAGATGATGAGCACCTCATCCGTCTCGGTTCCTTTTTTCTCTGGAAATGAAGTAAGGAGGAGGTCGGCCTTCCACTGCCTTTTTTTTTTTGTTTGCTTTCTCTCGTCGCTTCGCTGCTTCCACCAATTTCCAAGGAGCTTTGAATGCCTCGAGATCGAATCCAATTGAAGGCTCTTCCCATCTCTCCGATCTGCCTGTCTTCTAAATCCCTTGATTCCCCTCCGTTTTCAAGATAAGGCGGAGGCGTCCTGCATGGGCAACTCGGCTGACTTTGATCGAGCGGGAGTGGCGCCATTCAGCTCACTTCTCCAATTTTCTCCCAGCCTTGTTATGCTGATGTCCTTTTAAAAGGGTTAAAATGGCCCGTCTTTCAGAGGTTAAGGCATCTTTTTCCTGTTTATTCCCTCTCCCTTCTCTCCTCGGACTAGGAAAAGCATCGACCCTCATGTAGAAGGTCCTCGTTTGCCCTGACATTGATTTTTATGCCTCGGGAAGTTCATCCTTCTTCCGGGGCTCATTTCCCCCCAGTTATACTGTCTTACTGTACATACTCCACTCTTATAACAAGGAAAGAGATGGTGGGTGTTCTTTGTCGCCTCTGACAGACCCTCGTTAGTTTCTTTGTATTTCTTGTTCATCGTCTTACCTGTTATAATGAGTCTCGAGACTCGAAGGAGACGGAGTCTCATGTGGTGGTATATCAATGGAGCTTGGAGCTTTCCAAATTAAAAGTTGAAGGAAGCGTCTTGCGCTCGATTGGAGTGGCATACCATATTCATTCACTATGCGATTCCCTTTGGCCTGTCTTATTTGATGGAGCTTAACTTGGAAATGTGAATCAATCGGCAAGCACATTTGCTTGATTAATTTTATAATCTCGAGTGGCAAATACGTGGCCCGCCGACGATTGAATTTCGGATTTCTTAGAGAAGCAATGTCGGATGTACCATTCTAGGCAGGTCAAGGTGCAGGTAATGGTGAGACATTCATCAACGCTTGCTGAGGAAAGGAAAACACCTAGTAATTATAACATATTAACACCTGGTAATCTCATATTACGAACAGTAATATGAGATTATCAAAACATTCAACATGTGATATAGTGAAATGTATGGAGAACGTTGCATGTGCTTCTCTCCATCCGACATCTACATAGGATGAGGAGAGAGGGGAACAAAACATGACAACAGGGAATCATTCGATTCCTTTCTTAATTGCCTTTTTTTCGTGCTGGTAGTCAGCTTTGCCTTTCTTTACCTTTTTCAGTAAGGGAAGGGATCCTGAACCCTGACCTTTTCTTTAACAAGTGAAAGGGGGGGAAAAAAAGAGTTGATATTGAAATCTCTTGTTCCTGTCAAATTCAAATGCAAATGCAAATTCATTCCATTATACCTCAAGGTGTATATGCTTTCTTTTTTTTTGCAGTCTCTGGAGAGTACGAGACGGATGCTGGTGCTATGTGAGGAGGTGAGTATTTCTATGTGGTTCGCGTGGATCGATCGCTCAGTCGCCTGAGTTGTATATCTGGTAACCGTCTGGCGGTCCCCATTTGTCTCAGACCTATTCTTCTATTCCTAAGAAAACAGGCCTCTGCGCCATATATCCGCATTAAGGGGGAAATAATGACATTATCCTCTGGATGGGAAAGGAAGGGAGACCTCCAAGGAAAACACAGGCTTGAGAATGCGTACAGCAGGCGACCCCTTCTTTTGTTGCATTGTCCCTCCAATTTTCTACGACTCGTGTTTCATGCCTGCCTTGACTGAATCTCAGGCAGGAATCGTCTCAAAGAATTGTTCCGAAAAGATTTCCATCTTGCGATGATGATGATATGACATGCCCCGTGTTTTGCATGCTGCCCTTTAGAGCAAGGAAGCCGGGATTCGAACCTTGGTCGCATTGGACGACCAAGGAGGTGAGTCTTTCCTCCAATACGAATGAAGCCGGCACATGTATGGCGTCCCTTCGTGTAGTCCCCCCCCTTGCCCCTTGCGTGACTCATGTGCTATATAAGCATGGATCATACATAACGCATGAAACCCCATTATCTCCCTTCCTACCCCTAGTCTGCATGATCCTCTCTCTCGTATTCTTTACCCCGCTCCATCCACTTGAAACACACAACAAAGGATGATATTGATCAAGTGTAGGAAAAGGATGCAAATGTATCGATGTGAACGTGTGTCTTTGCCCTCTCACCCTTTCCGTCATGGTATGTTCATTGAGGGTCGTGTCAATGATTTCCACACGACTTACGTCTTTGATGGGAATCAATAGAGGCGTTGATGAGGTGAAAGCCTACCCCCACAGAAATCGATGTGCCAACCTTTCCTCGGAAGCCCAGGGAGTTCAAAAGGGGAATTAAAGAGGGATCCGTCCCCCAGGGTGATGTTGATAATGCGAAATTATGCCTTTCATCATCACAGTTCTCACTTCTTTAATCATGTCCTTTGCAACAGACGTAATGTTATTTCCTGTGGAACTTGTTCAGAGATCCTTATTTAGCTTGAATCAGGCACTGCAGTGCGCACAGCCAATGCTTCGGATGAGCTGCAGCTGTAGAAAATGCGCAGATTCTGCTAGGACGAACTCAAACTGGAAATACCGTGATCAAAGTTTGAAAATAAGATGTCAAAAGTACTTTCAAAGAGGAGTTTTGCACACTCGTACTTTCGTAGTCTCCGATGGTTCACTGCGATTTGCACGGGTTGCACAGAAGGGAAGAGTGTATTATTTAACAGTTCAGTACGGCTATTTTAATCCCTATTTTTCTGCGGTTCTGTGCATGGCATAGAAACTGTGAAGTTTTCTTTCAATGACGTGCCTATGAAAGGAAAGAAACTTGCATAGCTAGGGATTCACAGAAATCTTTCATAGCTATAAAATAAAATGCATGTTTTGGTTGCACCACTTGTGCGCCATAAGTAACAAAGCTACATTCTCTTCCACTGGTAGGAAGTTTTTTTTCTTCTTAAAAATGCTAGCATCACATGCATCTTTTGATAAAATTATGAATTGGTATTTTGTATATGAGTCATGTGTGCTAGAGAGTATCAGTATTTATTGATACATTGTGGGTGTATCTTGCTGCTTTTACTATCTATTCTTTTGGGACAGAACTGAAATCAATAAGTGCTACAAGATGAAATTGCAGAATCGCATGGAAGGGTCTCTGTCTCATAATCACTTTTCCACACCAGTCATGGTAAAATATCCAGGAGTCATGACTCAACAGCTGCTAGAAGAATTCACTGTTTGGAAGTGTGCAGATTAAATTACAGGTTCAGAAATATGGAGTATAGCATCCCAAGCCTGGACAAATGACCCCTGTGATCTCCAGATTTGACCCCTTCTGATTTTTTCTTTGGGGCTACCTAAAAGGACATTGCTTACAAGCCCACAGAGAATATCTGTTGTGCAGTGTGCCAGAAAAAAGACCGAATTCTCATGGATGATGCTGACAATGCAGTTGCCAGGGCTGAGAAATGTCTCAAAATCGGCAGTCAATACATTGAGCCAATTTGCCAAGTAAATTCCTAATTTTTATGATTTTGAATTCCCAAAACGTTCTATTACGCAATCAATACCATGATAATTGTAAGAAGTTGTTGCAGTAAGTTTGAATGGCAAAATTTTCCTCAAATTGTTGTTTGAATTTCTTTTCCATTCAAATGAATCAGAAAATCATAAAACACTAGATCTGGGAAATTAATTCTCAGCCATGCTGAAATGGAAGAAGGAAAGATCTGACACTATTCCAAGGTCAGCATGTTCTGTCTACCAACATTTAAAAAATGGCTACTTCTGTGTCTTTAATGAAAAAGTCACCCATAGGTAGTCACTTTATGGATGGGTGTCCATGCACCTTGAAACCAATATGAAGCTGATTTTTCAGAGCTGTTTGAGAGTCTCCATTTTCTCCTTCCCTTGCCAAGAAGGCTGCAGGCCCACTAATATTCCTCCATGCTCTCAAAAAGTAGTTCTCAACCTCAGCTTGTGAGTCATATGTCAATCCTTACCTGGGCAGTGGTGACTGAGACAATAGGAACTCCCATAGTTTTTTACAAGTCACCACCTGGGTCAGCCTACTTTTTATACTATCTAGTTTTTCTTAACTGAAAGTGGTTGCATTTAAAATTCAAAATGCATTTATTTAGCCAAAAATGGACAATATTTTTCAGGTTAATCATATTGCATATGCAGGGTACACTAAATTCATTCAAGCGTGAATACTTCTCTGAAACAAGATGTAATAGGCCCTGTGCTACTTTGCATTAGATGTTTCTGTTGCAATTAATATCACTGTGTGGAAACCCTTTCCTGAAGAGCGCACATGGGTGAGATCCTTGGCAAGGATCTGTCTCTCATATCCTCCCATCTCTTGACTAATGATCCATTATCCAGGCAAAAGGTGACGTGAGACGGACAGGAGATTAGATATGCCTGATTGCCTCTCAGAATGATTGAACTGGAATGAGGCACAATATCCTGAAAGGCAGGATTCCTTGATCATTCTATCAATACATTATGTCACTCACATGGGAGTCTCCCTTTCTCTTTTCTCTCTGTCCTTCTTACACCTCATCAATTTATTTTATGTTTTGATTCATTTTATGGTTTATTTGATTTATTTGTGCTTCTTGGTGTGTTGTGTTTGTTGATTAGAGTCATGATGCTGGCGCGAAGACGCTGGAGATGTTGAATCACCAAGGGGGTATGTAATATTTCATAAAATCTTTTATTTCTGAAACACCCTCTAAATGCTAATCCCATTGAGGAAGTTACACCAGTAACCAACTAATCCCACAGCCTCAGGAGCTCTGAATATTTGCTACAAGTACTATTCAATTTCTTTACTTAAGCTTTAATAATCAGGATTTTTCAATCCTGAATTTTCAAATTGATTAGATGTACCATAATTCATTTTGTATTGTGTATTTTGTTTAGTATTTTGATGTGTCCAAAATGCATTCAACCTCCCTGATGCAAAATTGTGCCGAAGTCAGAACACATGGATTAGATGTCATTTATGATTTGCCAGAATATCTGGCTTCAGAGTTCTTTTATTTCAAGATTGTGTTTCATGGAATTTGCTAAAAATTTAAAGGGTTCCCTCTGGGGTGAGGTGAGGAAGCATTTTGCAGCATGTAAATGATGAAATCAGTTTTTAAATCATCACCTTTGTGAGCCCAGAACTGGTATAAACTTTGGTTTGTTGTATTTTGGTTTCCCTTATCCCTTTCATATTTGCAGCCCATCTCTCCTGCTTCAGTTCTTTGCATGCTGCATGATTGTTTTTCCATATATTGTTTGCCTTTTTTTTTTTAGCGTGATGTCCTTTCAAGTTGTTCATTATGGCAGTAGAAAAAAATTTTTTATTGTTACAGGTTTTTTTTTCAGCAGTTCATTGGTGCATTTCCATTAACCTGTAGTGTTCTCTAGTGCACACTAATGTAGTTTATACTGGAAGACTATAATAACGGCTGGCTATACTGCAGCATTTTTTAAATTCCTAATGACTGCATGAATCACATCCTAAATAATTTGCATGGAGTCTTGTAACAAGAACTATTGCCTTGTAATTAAATATTTCCAAAGGAGCTTGACAGTAGCAGGAATGAATGAAGAAAGAATCCAGTCAGCAAATTGTCAAAATTCTACAGGATGGAGCCAACAGCACCAGTAGAAAGGCCAGTAGACTGAATTGATTGCAAAACACCCAGAACCAGAAAACTGGTTGCCTGATCAATTGGGGGCCATTTTGGGTATTTTGCATTAAATTCAGTTGCAACTGACTAACATTAAAAACAAACTCTACCCTCTCTTCTTTTGTTAATTTTGCAGTCATCACTTACCTGGAAAGAAAAAATAATTAATACTATAGTCGAACAGTGAAATCCCCAATGGTGCGCAACTTTTGTGCCAATCTGTATATTGATCCTAAGTCTTGTATATGGGCACATAGCTTGCACAAACATTGAAAATGACAGAAGAGGACTGCAACTTGTTTTTGTATGAAAATTAATTATGGGATGGAACTCATGTGCTCACTTTCAAAAGCTTGAGATCATGGATATCAGATATGAACTTTCTTGCTCTGAAACCTAGCTCTCTTCTGTTTTAAGAACATTGGCTTTGGTCCTGAAGAGGAAAGTTTGAAGAGCTCTCAATGGAAACCTTTCATTCAACAGAAGCCTAATTATGCAGAGTGGAATCTGTAGCAATCAGACATACTTAGGACAGAAAGCTTAAACACAATGTATGATATCTGGTCCTACATCGAAAAATAAAAGAATTTCATATGTCTTTGCTGAAATAGGCCTTCATTCATGTGAAGGACTTTTTGAAGAGGTGTACTGAAAAACATGATTACTTCAGCAATATTAGATATTGGACATGTTTATTGAATGAGGAGTAATCAACACGGAACAGGGCAACTCCAGGTGTTGTTATGCTGAGGAATACATTTAAATTTGACAAGTGAGATAATTCCAAGTGTGGTTACTTCAGTGGTATATTGCTTGAATTTCCAATTTACTTCTGGTCACATCCAAAAGTTAAGTTCTGGAGTAAGTTTTTAAATTTTAAGTGAAGGGTATGTGGCTCCCCAATGAGTGGAAGTGCTTTTAACAAGGGAGAAGGGCTAATCCTCTAGTGCTGCTACTCTTTGTTTCTTGAACATTGTGTTTTAGTCTGTCTTGGTCATTGTCCACTTGTACTTGTTGGATAGTCTACAAAATCATACTTGTACCATTGAGATCTCATTTAGGGAGCACTTGATACATGGAAAGTCATCTCTATTGTCTTCTGCTGTCACATTCAGATTGTCTGCCCATATGCAAACTCTTACTGGTCCACCAGGCAAATGCCCATTGGGAATCTCACCCTCTCATCAGCACCTCATACTTTAGCTTTTATTTTGGACACCTGCCAGTCTGTTGGCCAAATGTAATGAGATACGGCAATACCAGGCTTGACTTTTTATGTTTCTGTCTGTTTCATTTTTAAAATATTTATATAGGACATTTATTTATGATAGGTGTCTGGAGAGTGAAAGTATAGTTAGACCATTTATGTCAGCCAGTTCATATCTGTCTTTCTTGAGATGAGCCCACCCTGTGCATGTGCCTGAGCCCAGTGCATGCCTGATGATGTTCAATTGTCAATCTTTAGATCAATATACATATATTCATATAACTCTTCTCACCCCACTTCTGGAAAAATCTCAGCACTCATTGTGACTGGAATTTTGTTCTTGCTATGGTCTCTTCTACATTTCACCTCACAATTTTCAGTGTATTTTACACATTTGGATAAGTGAAGATCAAATCCCAACTTCAATAAGTATTTAAGTTAACTCTGGAGGATCTAAAGCAGGTCTGAGTCTCAATGGTCACTTGTTGACTGAAATGTAGAGCAACTGGAGGGGATTGAGAAGGGGATGGACCAGATCAATGCAGATATGCGAGAGGCAGAGAAGAACCTCACAGGCATGGAGAAATGCTGTGGCCTCTGTGTACTCCCTTGCCAGAAGTAAGTTCTTCCTGTCATCCCATTTATAATATAGAATTCTGGAACTGGATGTGATAACCATGCTTATTTAACTACAGGACCTCACAATTCAAGGAAGATGAGGGAACATGGAAGGGAAATGGAGATGGGAAGGTGGTTGGGAGTCAACCTCAGCGGGTCATTGATGCCAATGGGGCCATTGCTAACTCTGGTTACATTGCCAGGTGAAAGCATCAGCAGTTTTGCCATCTCAAGAAATGGTTTGGCAAGTGAACCATGACATGATCCTTCCATCTTCCCAACAGGATCACAAAAGATGCGAGGGAGGATGAAATGGAGGATAACATGCAACAGGTGAATCAGATGATTGGGAACCTTCGCAATATGGCCATTGACATGGGTTCAGAGATTGAGAATCAGAATCGACAGTTGGACACCATCAACCAGAAGGTCAGTCTTGTGTTTTATAGGAGTGTGAATTTCCTCATTCAGGCTATACTCTTATCCCCCAACTCATTATGCTTTTTCACATCCTGTGAATTCACTTCATTTTGCCTCTTACTGAGCCAAAAGAGAGGATTTTTCCCAATTCTAAGGGAACCAGGAAATTTCTCTGATTATTCATTCCCTATGGCTGACTTCATTGTCAGGGCTCAAAGAGTTCTCCAAAAAACGGGGTGAAATGGACACCATTTTAGGCCCCCCTCTGCAAGATCTCAAATGCAAATGTCTTCCAGTTGACTAGAGGGAGTCTGACTCACGTAAATAATGCAATCAGTTAAATCTTCCTTCTGATTAATTGGATTTCTGCAGTAAACCCTCCTGATGGATTGCAATGACTGGAGCCAAAATCAGATATGGAATTGCCATGCATTTGTCTCTTCGCAAATCTCTCCCTGACAGGGATTGCTTTTAAGGAAGCCAAGTAATTTTGCTTGATCATGTCTTCACATGGCAGCTTACCACAGGGTCTGAAGTTTCTACCATTTATCAAGTCCTAATCCTACTGTAATGTTCACCTGTCAGTTATAAAGATGTTTGATGAACATCTCCCCTCAATAAACATTTTTATAGGCTGAAGTTGTTTCATCCACTACCCAATCTTTAGCACCTTTCTCATATCTTTTATCATCTCTCCTTTCAAAGAGGACTGGAAGAGTCACCTCTGGCGATGCTTCCACTCCTTTACTTCTTATCACCTTTGATCTGTTTTCATTGCCATGCTGCCTAGTTAATGCATCTTTTCACTCTTCTAAGACTAGGTCATATGAGTAAAATAATAAATATAACCCAGAAGACTTGTACATGGGGGTAGCAAGAGATGATGCCAGGCAACAGCTTGGCAGTTTTTATTGATGACTAGCTTTTGTTTTTGCTTATTTATTATCAGGAAGGAAGTAATCAGAGCAGGAAGGTAAATTTTCTTGAATATCTGATGAAAATGCTTGTCTCTTTATCATCCCTGAATTAAAAATTTTATTGTGATCAGGATTTTTTTTTCCCCCATAACTTACATCAGGATCACATCTTGTTGGTGCCCTGAATATCTCTTGTATGTTTTAGTTCATCCTTCAAGTGATCAATGTAACTCCTCTTGACTACCTTTTGCAATTCAGATTTTCAAGGAATTCAAGAGTTATCAGTGATACCAAGAATAATTATACATGCCATTATTCATGATCAATCCTTGCTATGAATAGATTTTGCAATTGCCATTAATGGAACAGGAGCTTCTGAAAACCTGAACTCAGATTGAAATTATCAGTGCTCGGCAATTAGATCTGACATGAACCATTCAATGGATGGTTCAGAGGGAAATACAGGGTACCCATAATGTGATTATTTATTGACTATTTTTTAACTGTTAAATCTGAGGGAACCTTTCATTTTTTATAAGCACACTGACTGTAGACTTCAGAATGATGTCTCATCTTTCCACATCCCATTTTAATATGATTGTGAAGTAATTTCTGACCCCGGTTCAGGTTCAAGCACACTGAAATAGTACTTCAGTGCACCCCCTATTACTACCCACATTGAATTAAAATTCAAAAGAAATGCTTCCCCTATGGCCCAATTGTGAAATAAATTAATGTTCCACTATTTAGTGGTAATATTCCTGATTCCTATTTTCATCAAAGAAGGGCCCATCATGATGCATCTCTGATTAACAGTGCAAATAGTGCAGTCCTTTGTGTTTTTAAACAAAGGTCTGAGAAATTCTCAGTCACAGTTAAGTGGAAGGAGGAAAGAGGTGTGACATCTTTTGAAGGTTTCCAGTCCACATGCAAAATAAATGGTTACTTCAGATTCATTAAGAAAAAAGAAAGCTCATAATCCCTTTACTATCACAGTGCTATGAAATAATAGGTACCCATGAAGTTCAAATCAGTACTGAGAGTTATGCAAATTTCAAACTTAGGGGTTAGGGATGCAAAATTTAGGAGAAGGTATAGCACATGCTGGAGAGCATGATAGGATGGAGAGATGTGAAGGCAAAAAAATTTCCTGAGGGCTCCACTGGATTGATTATTTAATGTGGTGTCCATGGTGGTTGCTGATGACATTCATTTGCTTAATATGGTCTCCATGGTAATTTTTGATGACATTCATGAATGGAATGATGTTGGAAATGACAATATAATTATCTATCAAGCAATCATTGCACTTCCTGCCAAATCACATAATTTAGCTTGGAGTGGTGCAGGACTATTGTAGTACACATGTTTCATCAAGAAGCCCCATGGCCAATGCAAATGTGTTTAGACCACTACAGCCCAGCAACACTTCTAGATCTTGAGGCTGCCATACAGCAGAAAATGCACACAATTCCTCAGGAATTGTTGCTTGATGCAGTTTCCAACATCATTCCATCCATTGATGCTACCATCAATCAGCATGGATGCCATATTGTAGAATTGACATAGTGGTACTCTCTATATATGAGTGTTTCTTATTTTTTTTTCATCCCATCATGCTCTCCATTGCATGTTCTGCCTCTTTCCTGAATCTTGTGCCTCTACTTCCTGTGCTTTGCAAGTTGCACTGCTCCAAAAACCCATACATGCTTCATGGCCACTTATAATGTCAGTTTTTAGTTTTGGTGGAAATTCAATATTCTTACCATAATCTTTGCCTTGTTGTCTTCAGCATGCAAGACGCATCAAGTGCATTCATGCAATTTGCAAATGGCGAATGTGGAAGAATCTAGAAATTGCAGGATCTGAACATTATAGGTCTAGATCAGGATGAGAGGCAGTCTGTAGTTCTTCAGAATATTCCAGGTTACTAGCCTGAGGAAGCATTCACACTGGTGACACCTCTCTTGACACAGGTTTATATGTCATGTAGGAATGCCTTTACTAGGACTGCAGCAGTAGTAGGCTGACCCTGAAAAAGGTATTGGATGATGTGACCTATTGATGCATTAATGCATTTTGCAAGTTGTGACGTTATGAGAAGTAATGATTGTTTATGTACATTTCATTGTGAAAAATAGAATTGGAGCTATATCTAAAAGTAGAATAAATCAGCATTGTTCTCTAGTTTCTTCAGTTTATGTCATGATTCTGAATTGCTCTTAAGTTTTTTATGTTAGTGGTATTGATTCAACAGCATTTCATTTTGTAGGACCAATTTACCAAGGCCTAAATGTCTCACATTTCTTTTTTGTAGTTTTCTTGGAAAGCATATTCAGTCAAATTAGTGCCAGTAATAAGTGGTCCTAAGTGATGAGCATAATGTTGAAGAATGCATATGCCATATATTTACTGTGTCACAATCATCTAAGTGTGTTGATACAGCATTGGCAAAACAGTTTTATGTCATTTGCTTTGCTGTTGTCAGTTAAGGTTATTAGAAAGAGAAGATTGAGCCTTTTGAGGGAATAAAGGTGCTATCTTTATCCAAGCACTCTTCTTGTTCTCTAGCCAAAGTGGATGCACTTATAACCATAAGACCATCTGCCTGGTGTATGAAAAACAGACAGTGGCATAATAGCTTTTAGTTCCGTATTTGACACAGATTTTCTTATGCAAATTTATTGTTCATATTGCTGCTATTTGGCTTGAATATTTTATATTAATATTTTTTATGGATTTCATTTAGCAAAATCTGCATCCATGGTTGAACCTAAATTCTCAATGAGTTAGCCTTCTCTCTCTCTCTCGAGGCCTATCCTGCACTTTCTAGTAACCTTGGTGTCAGTGTGGAAGCCAGTCCTGCAGTCTTTAGAGATATAGTAGAGCTTTGAAGGAAGTCAAGAACTCAATGTCAGTAAGTTTCAGCACTCTTGGCTCAGAAATTTAGAGACAATATTAGGGAGACTGCATGCTCAGTCTAGGCTGTAGAAAGAGTCAGTGCCTGTGACTGCTTTGTGCATCTGCATCTTCTTGCCTTGTCCTTTCAGGCCACATCCAACGAAACTCGTATCGGCATGGCTAATACTCGGGCTGGCAAGATCCTGCGAGCAAAGTAGAGACTCAATCACTGAATTCCAACCAGAAAGCAAGGCTCCTCTGACAGTACTTATGTCTGATAATCCTGTCCGGTCATGCATTGTGCCACCAGCACTTTTGTGATTCTGATCTCTATGTTTCCTTTTTGGTTCTCCCCACCTCAGTGCCCTCATTTCCTTTTCAATCTATTTCCAGGCTGAATCTGATGTCCTAAGAGTGAAGAAGGCACAGGACAGAGTGGACAAGTTGAATTAATTTCGACCACCTGCTCTTGAAATGAAGGGAGAGTATATTTCAGATTAGTGTGACTCGCATGTTACATTCCAAACCGTCTCTGGCAACTTTAGAAATTACACGCCTGGTGCGTGATTGTTGTAGAAAAAAACTAGTCATTTAGGCATGTGCAGTAGCTTAGCCAAGTGAGGACTATCTCAGAACATACACTCAGTTTCTGGTACATAAGGGATGTTTATATGGATCATAATGGTTTCTAACTCACACAAGAATGGTTCTGCTTTCTGCATGAATATTTTTTTATTGATTAGAACTCTAGGAAGACAAGCAAGTTAGATGGAGCAATCTAAGTGATATCACCAAAATTCTTTCAGAACTAGCCCCTCTGGGTCCATGTACCTTTCCTTCTACATGTCACTATGACTCTCAGCTGTTCTTGCCTCTTGTTGCAATTCAAAAGTATGGCCTAAACTCTGTCCATGAGGAAACATGATGGCTCATTGTGCTGCTTGTAGGGAGTCAGGAATTCAGATTTTCTTGAGCCATATTGAGTGTCTTCTTTCATCCTTCATTTCCCATTCAAAAGTACCTACTCTTTGTCTCGTTATGCCTTGAGCACTGGATTGGTGCTATTGAGAAACCTTCTCTGTTTATGGATGTTTTGCCACCTGAGGCCCTGCTGTCCCTGTGTGTCACTAGCAATATTTGGCTTGTTGCAGAGTTCTTGAATTACTCTTATTGAAACCTTTGCCAACCTTATAATGCTGAAATTTTGCATGTACTAGAGAATGTTTTGTCCAATTGAAAAGAATATTCCATCTTCTTTCATTGTGTCATTCTAAGAATGGATACCTGATTAACATGAAGTCTTTATACATTTCATGCCAAAATCTGTACATGTTTCAATCAGTTTGTGTCAATCTTAGGTCACATGTAGAGGAATGCTATAAAAGGTAATGTTATGATAGTTGTTAAGCGCATGAATCCAAAGAATTAAGGAAAGAATACAAACAGCCATAATGAGCAAAGTCATCCTTTTGAAAACATCAAATCTCATTAGTTGCTCCTGTTGTATCAGAACTGATTTCATTGAACTCTCTTCCCATTTCCAAGCTGTATCTTTAAACTAGGCTTTGACATTTATTCTAAATCCAGAGTTGAGTGTGTGCTGCATTTTCCTCTTTTTCGGTAGTAGTGTCTTAGAGTGAGATGTGACTGCATTCACGAAAGCAGAAGATCCAAGGATGCATTCAGGCCTTTATACGTTATATTTACCCTGTCAATTTATTCAAAACTGACATTTATAAGCACCGATTGTACACAGGATTTCCATGCCAGATGTACCATATTGTGCTTAAGAGAGGTGTCAAGAAGAAATTAGTGGTGGTGTGTGCAATATTGAAAAAATTTCCCATGCTCCATGTGCTCAAGATGAAAGTATGTTGTTTGTATCCTTGACCTGGCTGCTGCTTTTTTTGAGCTTGAAAACTTTTCCTAAGCTTTCTTTACTGATGACAGTTCTTTTATTCACCTAGTGTCTCCAATATAGCTGCTACATCATAAAATGAAATGAATAGGACCTACCTGTACAGCATTTCTCAGATGAATCTCTCCATTCTTGCTCCTTGTGAATGGCAACAGTTATGTATATTTCTGGTTCTTTGGGAATATGCTGTTTTTACTTTCCTGTACATAACCCTGAAGGATTCATCAATGTAGTTGTGCATGAGTAGCGTCTAAAACTTGTTGAGGCTTCCATAAGGGCGGAATTCATAGTTTAGTTGCATCTTGGATCATAGTCTATAGCTACAAACCTATTCAGATTGAGGACTCAATTCTTAAACAAGTTGTTGACACCATCTGGCATAGAGATCCATGATTATGAACAATCCATGCTTGAAGTTTTTATGACCTCATCCCCCAGGTACATCTCCTTGGTACCATGAGACCATATCAAGCCTCTCTGGAGAGAATTCTGGCTTTCCTAGTTATTGTACATAAGGAAATGGAGGTAGCTTCAGTGCAAGAAATTGCTTGTGCATAATGCATTCCCACATCCCAGAATTTACCCTCCGTCTCTTGTCTGTTGGTTTGTTTGCTTGTTCGAATATGGCGCACTGTGATAGCTCATGCAAAACGAGTACAGATGATTCCTTCTCTGCACAACCAGCCTTTTTGATGCTTGATTTGCTCGTCTCCGATTTTCTTCACTTGTTAAGGCATTCTTTTGAGGTCGATCTGAGTCGCTTCCAGTTTCCACAGCCTCTTCAGTGGCGACTAGTGCGTCCGAGTGTGCTCGACTGACTGACTGAGCCTGGTGGATGGATTAATTGTCCTTCCTTCTTTCTGAAGCTTATCATAATGGAAATCGATCATCTTAGCTGAAAATTGTGAATTATTTATTTTCATGGATTTTTTTCATTATTCCTCTTCTTTGACTTTAGGGTTTCATTTCAATGAGAATAAAGGAATTTTAACTTGATCAGGGTGACCTTATCTTGATCAGGGTTATTTTTTATTATATTCTCACCATTTTCTTTCATATCATAACTCGGTCGTTTCACCTCAAGTGTCCCAATTCTGGAGAAAGTTTTGTGGGTCATATCACGAGCCTGGATGAAATATAGCTCTCACCATGCTCTCACTGAGGAACGAACCTCTGCAAATTTGTTCTTCTGTTGACCCCATGGGCGGCGATTCGTTGATAAACACGTGGAACCAAGAGACTGTTGCTCTGCAAGCGGCTGAACTCCCCTATCTGCTTTCTGATTCACTTTCGCCCTCTCAAAAATATAAATAAATAAGTAAAATGCAGAGCGCTGCTATCTGCCCAGCCATTCAATCCTTGAGCGATAGATACCATGCTACTTAATTATGTATGATAAGACTGACCAATGAGTGCTGCTTTCCCTTATGCTCTATCAAACCATGTAACATACAGGTACTGACATCGCGTATCGAGTTCCCTCTGTCATACAAGACAGGCATACTCCCCGAAAGATACATATTTTTGTGGGATCCATATACTGACGAGTTCCTCATTTATACCTTGTTCCCTTTTTTAAATTTGCTATGTTCATTAAAGCATCTTACTCGTTCCATGCGTTCATAACCCAGCAAGTCCTGCACCCCAAGTCTCATTTGAGGTAACGAAACTTGAGCTGGCAACTCCATGGTAACAACCACCCACGTCCCCCTCATTCAGCTGTTACCATGGAGTTTGAAAAATCTGCCTCTCTCCCCGTTATTGATTCTCTTAATGATGTGTGCATGGCCGAATGAGGCCTCTCCCGTCCCGCTCCCTCCTCCCTCCTCCCTCCTCCCTCATCCCTCCTCCCTTCCCCCCTCCCCTCATTAACTTCCTCTTGAGCTGAGCCCGGAAGCGTATAAACGTGTTCGAGCCCTTTACCTCCTTGATCGTTTTAATAACCCTTCCTGCACCCTCTCCAACGCAGTTAAATTCCTTTCGTCCGCAGGCCTCCAAAATTAATCACGATGTTCTAAATGGGGTGCCAACCGGCGATGCAAGTAATTAGAGATTAAAGCGCAAGCTCTTATTAGCTGTAAAATACCGGATTCCGCCTAAAATGTTACATTTAGCTTTGAGTTACTGACACATTCTAAGAACTGTTGCTCCTCGTCTCAGACGCTCAAGTTGACATCGCAAAGAAGCTTGAGGGTTTGCCTGAAATTCGAAGCAATCGCGCATTGGTTTTTATTTCAAGCCTCTGTGCCCGAGAATTAAAGTCACTAGTTCTTATTTCGAGTGTATTCTCCGAACCTGGAGAAAGGCCCACATTAAATCAATGTCAGTACTTTGAATGGGATCTGCCAAACAGGGGTATCGAGACAGTCTACGTCATATCTGCATTTTTAAAGTTAACACTTCGATCATGTGCCGTACTATAAAATTTGTAAAATTCATATTTTTAAGCACGATTATTCGGAAGTCACGCAAAAAATGTGAACTTTTCTGGTTTCGTTGAGCAATAGCTTTATTTGTGCTCATTTAGAAATAATTTTGAAACGATTTCTACAGCGAGGCAAGGTCATATTGACCTTTATCAGATGGAGACTTCTTGCTTTTGGAATGAAGATGACTATAAGAAATAATGGAAGAGCTCTTTAAAAGCTCTCAAATGAGCTAACGAGCACTACTGTTATTTGCATAGCTTAAATATTTCCTGAGACGGCTGGTATTTTATGCTGTAAGAGCATATTTAATGAGACTCCCGAAAGGCACCCCGTCACTCTACATACAGGGTCCGCCGAGAGTCGTAGAAACATTTAATTTGGAACATTTAATTTTACAACTTAATTTAAAATTTATTCCTATGCTGTAAATTGCAAAAAGTAGCTAACGTCGTGACATTTTATTTCCGCTCAGTTTTATTTTTCATTGTAGTTTTTAGTAACTTTTTTACAGCGCATGCTCGATGCGGGCTCGTTAAGCACTCTCGTGCGGACTGCAAAGTTGATACAACGTTGCAGCAGACGTCTTGAGGGATTCCACGAATTGCTCCTTCAATCTTTATTTTCTGTTCAAAGCAGTCTTTAGTGTCGTCCCACATAAATAAATTAGTAGTGAAGGATCGGGAGAACGCGGGGCCCAATTTTGCTCCGCCTTGAATGAAATGATTCGGTTTCGGGATTTGAAAACGTTTAACAAGATTCGTGTTTCGTGCAGGCGCCGTGCGAACATAAAAGCACGGCGTTAACCCTTTTGAGTTTTTTTAAATTACAGTTTATGTTTGTGTGCATTCTCTTGGAATAACTTAACGACTTGTATTTTTTTTTTGCTACTTCGTAAACGTATCTGTGCTAGAATTCTGAAGTTCTCAGAGAAAACTCCAAATTCTGAACTCAAATCACTCGAGGAAAAAAAAAATAAAAAAAAAAAATCAACCTAGAAAACAAATTTGAAATGTGTCAGTGACTTTTGGCCGACCCTTCATCCGGAAAAAGCCCGCAAAACCGTTGTCATCCAACCGGGATCCAGGTGGATTCGAGGAGCGAGAAACGGACGCACAATGGGAGAAACTAGGAGGAAACTTGGCATTTTGACCGGTTTGTTTCCAGTTGCTCCTCTGGGAACCTTCTCGGAAATCGAGAGTGCCGGCTCAGAGCTTTGTTTCTCAACGAGGACATCATGCATATTAAAATTTCCTCCAGATTCGTGAAATCCCCCGGGTCAGAGGAGCACTTCAAACGGAAAGATCTAGCTATCGTGGAAGAAGGAAACCCTTCCAAATGAAAGAGATGATTCTGGAGATTTTTCTCCCATCGGGTATTTGCGCGGGACGAGGCTGTTCAACATCGCGGTCTCCGTTATTTCTCTTTTCTCCAAGCGTGGATGGGCAAATGACGAGTCGCGTCAAGAAATCTTTCCATATTTTAAAAATTATTTTATGTTTAACCCTTCGTATTAAACACAATATCAGATGCGCATCAGTCGTGGAAAGCGTTTAGTAGCACGTGCAACAAAGATTCGAGGGAGAGAGAAATCCAAGGGACAAACACTGGCAACATCTGGGAAATGGCAAAGCGCTTCGATTACGATCGCAGAAAATACCGCTTTCGGTTGTTTCTGCGCGATACTCTTACTTCTTCTAAGTGCTGCGTCGAGGACAGTATGACGAAGCACCGGCAGTCGCGAGGGACTCACCCGAGAAAAGGAGCGATGGCACTCGAGCCGAAAGGAAATTAAGAGTCTCTTCCGTGCCGTGGAAGCTCCTAGAAGTAAATGGATGCGTTCCGATGGAGCCTGACGTGATGGCGTGCGCGAGGTGCATTCACGAGTCTTGGGGATTCCCCTGGCCCCGAAGAGCCGGAAAGGGGGACGTCTTGTCGCGAGTTCCTTTTCGGTTCTAAAGTGCCTCAAGTGTCTCCGGTCCCCGGTCGAGTGGGAAAAGTGAAGACTGCCGTTATAAGAGCGGACGAATCGACTGTTGCTTCGGGTCACCGTTAAATTTCCGGTCCTACACACTGGTAGCAAGGTTCGTCCCGGTGTGTGGTTTTTGGGCTGCTAACACTTTTCTGCACGATGCCGTTCTTCGTTGCCTCGACCGTGAGGGTTTCTCACCGTTTCGCTCGTTTTCCAAAATCTCTCGTGTCTCTCGACGTCTTCGTGCATTAGCGGCGCTGGATTGTTCCATTTTGCCCGAGCACGATTCATCTCTGCTTCACGCGGATCGCTCGTAATCTTACTTCAGGATTCGACGGTGCATTCCCACTCGGCGAATCGAGACGCCGTTGAATCCAAAATCTCGGTGAAGCCTTCTCGATCGAGAACAGAGAATGTTGGCCTTTTCGCGTTTAGCTTCTTTCGCATGCAATTCAACGATGAAAAAAAAATACGCACGCACATGCATTCGCAGGTGAAGAAGAAACGCAAAGCAAGACATTGCGAACGCTGACAAGCTTTCATTTTTTCCCATTTTTTCCTTCGTTCATGAATTGCGTTTCCCCCTCGGCGAATGACGCACTCGGACTCGCGTGCATTCTTCTCGATCACGAACGAGTGCATGCAATCGCCGGAAACGAAACGGCCTTGGGATCAGGAGCAAATAGGATCCTCGTTACCAAAAAAAAAGAGAAACGCTTGATCCCGGAATTCCCTCTCCTCATCTTGCATGCAACTGCGTCGCACTCGGGTCAGTACTCATCTTACTTTCATCTCACATTCATCTCACGTGAATCCCGTAGAGAAACGTCGAACGGAGATCTCCATCTTGCGAATTCGCAATCTCCGTCTTCCAGCACGATTTTCAATATATTTTTCCTATTTATTTAAATTCGATTTCAAAATGTGGAATCCATTTCTAGATATTTTTGGCCCGGAAACCGGCCTTTTTTATTATCTGCCCTCGATTTCTCTCAGAAGCCATCAAATGTAATCCTGGAGTGATTTTTAAACTCTGCGAATCCTTCTCGAGGCCGGTTTCGCCCCGAGCCAACGCCGCATGGCCCAATTGCACAAGTGATTAGATTAATCAGCAAGAATGGAAGGGCTCTAATTAAGATCTAAATTGGCCCGTTTCGCTCGGCAAAGCATCTCGAAAAAGGATTCTTAAAAAGGGGTTCCCTCCGTGCCTGTCTTCAAATTTGAGAACCTCCGGAATCTCCTGGATCGGAGAGAAAGTAGGATTAATTTCTGCTTCATTATTCTTCCCAGCACGATTGTCACCATACTGCTAAGGGCAATCATGCGTTATACCCCATTATAATGAGAGGGGGAAAGCGAGGCTCTGATTCGAAACGATCAAAAAGCATTTAAGATTCCAAATGAAATTCCAACTATTGAAGATGCATTTGGAATGCAGCCCGAATGAAACCAGAACGGGAGCAACGACTCAAAAACGAATCACATCGGCTACGAGAGCAAATCGCACGAAGAACCCAGAAGTTCCATCAGGCGTTCTCGTTCTCCGTCTCGTCCGTCTCCGATGCCAGCCTCGTCTCGGTCATGATCCTCTGGATCTCGTGAAGAGAGACTCCCTTCGTCTCGGGAAGATAAAAGATGCAGAAGCAGCCGAGGACGAGACTCGCCGTCGAGTAGAGCCAGAAGGTGCCGTGGAGAGCCAGGAGGCGTTGGAGGTAGATGAAAGTCTCCACGACGAGGAACATGCTGACGTTGTTGAGGCAGAGAAGGAATCCTGCGGCTTGATCCCTGACCGGGGCGGGGAGAAGCTCGGAGATCATCAGCGAGCCCAAGGCGGAGATCCCGGAGAAGAAGCCGAGCATGAAGGTGCTGAGGCATGCGAGGGGGAGCCAACCCATGGGACTCGAGCTCAGAACCTCCGCCTGAGAATCGGCGGCGTGGAAGTAGTAGAAGCCGCCGCAGACGGCCATGGAAACCGCCATGCAGAAGCTGGAGAAGATGGACAGTTTCTTCCGACCCACCCGATCGAACAGGAATCCCGAGGTCAACTGCAAACGAATTCAAGATCAGTAAACGGTAAGTCGACAGTTCTTCGAATTCGCGTTAGAGATACCACCGACCTGAAAGAGAAGTTGAACGAGAGAGACGATGATGGTAGCGAGATTGGGCGAGATGGAAGACCCGACGGTAGTGAAGATGTCGACGGTGAAGAACAAGATGACGTAGACACCAGTGAATTGCCTGAGAACGGTCACGGCCGCCGTGATCGTCACCGGTTTCATGTAGTTCCACCGGAGCAGTTCCCGCAACTTCGGTTTCCCCGTGTTCCCCTCGCCCTTCAGAGACGCCTGCAGGCCCTTCATCTCCTCGTCGACGTCATCTCGATGGAGACTCTCGAGAACCTCGCGAGCCTCCTCGATCCTCCCCTTCGACGCCAGCCAGGCAGGAGATTCGGGGACGAAGAAGAGAAGAAAGAGATTGAAGAGAGGAACGAAGACGAACACGAGAGCCACCGTCTTCCAGTGTAAGCAGGAAGCGATCCCGGTCGAAATGACGGTGCCCAAACACATCATCGTCATCGGGAGAGAAGCCAGCATCCCCCTGAGGGAAGGGTGCGCGATTTCACCGAGGTACACCTGAACGATAGAAGTGCGAAGATCTGCCCCAAAACCCATGAGGAACCGACCGGCGAAGAACGTGGCCAGGTCGAAGGGGAAAGCGACCAGGATCCACCCGATGATGTAAGGAAAGAGTGCGAAGACGAGAGACGGCTTGCGTCCCAGGAAGCTCCCGGCCGTCCCGGACAAGCTGCTCCCCATCAGGGCGCCCAACGTCACGATACTCCCTACACGTATCGAAGAGCTTTGAATTCTCGCATCAGAAGGGACAGTGGCGCCACTCTCGCGCGATTCCACGGAGCCACTGCAAACTTTCACCGTTCCCGTGACGAAACTAAGAAGGAAGGACGAGTAGAAATGCGGTCGAGCGAGTCTAAATCGCTTATCCACCGCGAAGTGAGGCTCTCAAAAGATGAGAGGAACAACCCTTCCTCGGCAGTAAAAAAGGTCATTATGCGGTGGCGTTACTAAATAGTAACTAAATGCATTTACAAGTTTCCCATCCTAAAAATAATTTGTCGCAAGTATAATTCCTTCTCGTTTTCATGCGAAGGTGAAAAAAGAAACGGCTTGCGCTCTCCTGGAAATTACGAGCATCGGGAATTGCGAGCATCGGGAATTACGATCGAGAATTGCGAGCATTCGGGAGTTACGAGCTTTGGGGAGTTACGAGCATCCGGGAGTTACGAGCATCCGGGAGTTACGAGCATTCGGGAGTTACGAGCATCCGTCGGTTACGAACATTTGATGCACTCGCCCGCGTCGAGTCCATTCTCTTCGCCGCTTCGCGAAACCCGCTTCGCCCTCCCCAAGTCCAAATGCCTCCGCTCCCACTGGAAAAGCCTCTCCACGGCGACGCCGGCCGTTCAGCGCATTTCATCCGTCGCGTTTCCGGCTTCGTGAGTCATTTCGGTGACGGCAAGGATGAATGAGGAATTCGACTCTAACCACTTTCATCTCGAGTTGTTTGTCGTCAAGAAATTAACGCGTTATAGCAACACTACCGACATTTTCCTTGGAAAATGTACAAGATACTGATTACTTGCAGAGTAACTCGCTTCGATGAAATGACCAAAAAATATATAAAAATGACCGTAACGCATTACTTTTACTCCTTTATCCTCCAACACCGATAAGCGTATTACCATGACTGCGTCAGCCAGCTATACGTCTCTGTGCTGTGATATATCTATCGGTGCCCTTGAGGTCTCGGTTCTTAGGCCCCCCCTCCCCCCC